GTCACTGAACACGCAGCACTGTCACCAAGCACACAGCACTGTCACTGAGCAAGCAGCACCGTCACTGTCACTGAGCACACAGCACTGTCACTGAGCATGCAGCACTGTCACTGAGCACGCAGCACTGGTTTTTCTTCCCAGTGTAGCGTATGTGCTACCTTTCAATTTTTATTTTATTCACTTTTTTTAAAAAAATATGTTTTCGAGACAGGGTTTTTCTGTGTAGCTCTGACTGTCCTGGAACTCGTTCTATAGACCAGTCTGGCCCAGAACTCACAGAGATCCATCTGCCTCTGCCTCCCAAGTGCTGGGATTAAATGCGTGCATAGCCCTGTGTGGCAAGTGACTGGTGACACTGCTGAAGATTCACTATTGTCTGCCGCATGGATTGCATGCATTCTTTTGATCTGCTGGGGACTGAGCTTGGGGTCCCCACACATGCTCGACAGGCTTCCCCAACTCTACATATGCCTGAAAAATTCAGATAGTAGAGCCACATGCAAGCCTCTGATTTTAGACGTCACTGTGTCTCTTGATGTAACCCTCATGCTTAGCATGAGGGCCTGAACTTACTATCTGATAAGAATTTTATGAGCACATCCAAATAGCCTATGAAGCTGATAAAACAGATTGGGAAGGCACAAGTGAGTGGGAGATGAATCCCAGACTGCTCATCCTGACAGCTCCCAAGTTAGAGTCTGATTGGTACTTTGAGTCACTTACTTTGGGTTATGGTGGAGCCCCTGCCTAGGATCCCCAGTGAGGGGCTGGGGGAGTGGCTCAGGGTGGAGCCCCTGCCTAGGATCCCCAGTGAGGGGCTGGGGGCGTGGCTCAGGGGTGGAGTTTCTGCCTAAGGTGAGCCTCTAGCTTCTGTGTCAGCACAACAGTCACACCTGGTTCACTCTGCATTTCAGAGGAGCTGGGAATAATTTTTCAGTGTTAGAAGCAGAGCCAGGAGTAGATCAACATGTACTTGCATGTGACCTCCCGGGCTGGGCCCAGAGGGCCCCATCTACCCATGTTCCCTGACCTACCTTTTATCTGGCTGCCCTAACTTAGCTTGGGCTCACCCTGCTGGGCCGGGCTGAGGGTGTCTTGGGCAATGATATTTGTGGAACTCACACAGGCGACTCCAGGTGTTCCAGGCAGTTGGTTTCTTTGATTTGATTCCATGTAATTTCATCAATTTTGTGTGTGTGGTCTTTTTGGGGAGAGAGTTACATCTGCACCAGGACAGAACACGTGTGTGGAAGTCAGAGGACAGCTTTCAAGATCTGTTTCTTCCTTCTGTCCTGTGGGGCAGGTGGGCAGAGTCATCTTGCCCCCCCCTTCTTCTTCTTCTTCTTCTTCTCCTCCTCCTCCTCCTGCTCCTCTTCCTCCTCCTCTTCCTCCTCCTCCTCCTCCTCCTCCTCCTGCTCCTCTTCCTCCTCCTCTTTCTCCTCCTCCTCCTCCTCCTCCTTCTTTTCTTTCCCTCCTTCTCCCTTCTTCTCTTCCCCCTCCTCTCCTCCTCTTTTTTTCTTCTTCTGTATTTTTTGCTGTTTAGGACTCCAACCTTGCAAGGGTCTGATGAGACACAGAGCTCAGGAAGGGATGGGACAGACTTCTGGAATCTTCTCTGTAACACACTCCGGCTGTGCCTTTCAGATATGGATGCAGAGCGAGAAGCCTTGCAGTGTACTGCCTACCCTGAGGTGCAGAGCTTCTGCCAGAAACACGGCTTGACATTCGAGGTAAGCAAATGGTCTCTCCAGAGTCACACGGCCCCTTGTCATCTGTTTGGTGCTTTAGCTTTGAGTCTCAAAACTCAAAAAGCTTTTTGTTTTGTCTTTTGAGACAAGGTCTCATTTAGCCCAGGCTGGACTCAAATTCACTGTGTAGCTGAGGATAACCTTGAACTCATCGTCTGCCTACTTTCACCTCCCAAGTGACAGGGTGACAGGTGTGTAGTGATGTGCCTGGACCCCTAGTCTGCCAACTGACCTATACACACTATTTACTGAGCTATGTCTCCAAGAGGTCCACCTACCTCCGCCTCCTTAGTGATGGAATTAAAGGCGTGTGCCACTGTGGGGAGTCCTACAACGCCATGGTCAGTAGAGGAATGATCTTTGAGAGGCAAGAAGGAAACCCAGTTCAGCAAAACTTAGCCAGCTGCACTGGATTAGGCTTCTGGAGTCTAGCCCCAGGCAGTTTAGTTCAGGCACATTTAAGTCCAGTACAACTTTGACCAAAAGCTGATGACAGTTTCTCCAGTCCCTGTGCACAGTAAAGCTTAAGGCGTGATTAAATGTGACCCCCCCCCCAGTATAAAGAGTTCTGTAGCTCTTTATGAGTTAAGAGTTAAGGGTCCAGGATCTGCTGTGGTCTCTGCCCAAGATAGCATAGAGGGCAGCAGGCTATGAAGTCTGTCAAAGTTATGCACCACCACTGCCCAGCCAAGCCTGGCTTCTGCATGCATTCGTGGGATGGAACTCAGGGCCTCATGCTACAGACAAGATCTTAGAGGCCACCACCCAGCCCTCTCCATACTCCCTCCAAACAAAGTCTGTCTTGAACTGATCCTCCTGCCTTAGCCTCCAAACCATTTAGGCGACGTCCTTGCCACCACCCCTAGCTCCATCTAGTTTTCTCTGTCTGTCTGTCTGTCTTTCTCTTCTTCTTCTTTCTTCTTCGTCTTCTTCTTCTTCTTCTTCTTCTTCTTCTTCTTCTTCTTCTTCTTCTTCTTCTTCCTCCTCCTCCTCCTCCTCCTTCTTCCTTCTCCTCCTCCTTCTTCTTCTTTCTTCTTCTTGGTGGTTTTAGTTTTTTTGAGACGGGTTTTTCTGTGTAGCCTTGGCTGTCCTGCAACTCACAAACATCCACCTGCCTCTGTCTCCCAAGTGCTGGTATAAAAGCGTTTGTCACCCTGCCAAGCGAGACAGGGTTTCTAAAGGTCAGCCCCATTCTTGTTGTCGTTATTGTTCCTAAATGTTATGTATAAATTCATACAAAACAGTCCAGACTAATGTGTCTTAATCCTTGGACTCCTCTTTTTCCTGGATACTCTGGAAGTAGTGCAGTTTTGAGACAGGGTTTCTCTGTATAACAATCCTGGCTGGCCTAAAACTTGCTCTGTCGATCAGGCTGTCCTCAAGACCCGCCTGCCTCTACCTCCCGAATGCTGGGATGAAGGGTGTGCCCACCACCGCCCAGCTCGTAGGTCTCTGTTGTTGGCAACATCACATAGCTGGTCTCAGAGACTGTTGTTCTTCAAATACCTTTGGGGAAAGACACTGAGAAGAGACAATGACCTTGTTCTTGTGCTGTTTGATGGTCACACCCCTCCACCAAGATTCCCAGTTTTCCAGTTCACCTTGATTCTCTCCTGGAGAAACTGCTTGAAATTGGCAGCATCCATGACCTCCAACTTCTCCAGGGTGCAGTCAAGGGCAAACTTCAAAACCAGCCTCTTGTTTTTGCCCCCTTCTCCACAAGCTTTTCTATGGTGCTATGGTGGCAGAGGAGGCAAAGAGCCCAACTCCATTCTTGACAGACTCCTGAGAAAGTATGAACGTCTTTCCTTGCAAGTATGAACGTCTGAGTTCTGACCCCAGGACCCACATAGAAGCTGGGTGTAGTGGCGTGTGACTGTAATCTGAACATGGCGGTCAGGCAAAGACAGGTCCAGTCCCAGAGCACAATGGCCATGCAGGCCAGTCTGAGAGACCCTGACTCAAAAAACAAGATGGGAGGAGTAAAGGAAGACACCAGAAATCATTGACCTTGGGGTTCCACACGCGCAGGCACACACCTGTGCGCATGTGCACAAACACACATGGGCATGCACACATGTATAGCACACAGGAATAAAGGGGCTAGAGGGATGACTCGGTGGTCAAGAAGACTCTCTGCTGATCTATCAGACCAGAGTTTGGTTCCCAGCACCCACATTAAGCAACCCACAACCACCTATAATTCCATTTCCAGGAGATTCATTGCCCTATTCTGGCCTCTGAGGGTACTGCACACATGTGCACAGATACACTTGTGTTTACATTGTGTGTATACATAATTAAAGAAATAAAAACACATGCAGCCCAGCTGTGGTGGCTCACATGTTTAATCCTAGCACTCGGGAGGCAGAGGTATGCAGATGTCTGAGTTTGAGGCCAGTCTAGTCTACAGAGTGAGTTCCAGGACAGCTAGGGCTACACAGAGAACAGACACCCCCCAAAAAAAAAAAAGCCACACAGAAACTGTACTAATTACAATGCTTTTCAGCCAATGATTCAGTTATTTCTAGCTGGCTCTTACATCTTGAATTAACCCATTTCTATTAATCTGTGTATTGCCACAATACTGTGGCCTACTGGGTAAGGTTCCAGCGTCTGTCTCCTTCCCTGACTCTGCCTACTCTCTCTATCTCTGTTCTGATTTCATGCTTGGCTTTACTCTGCTAAGCCATTGGGCCAAACAGCTTTTATTCATCAACCAATAAAAGCAACACATATACAGAAGGACCCAAATAATAATAACATTTTTGAAAAAAGAAAATAAGGAAGGAGCTGGGTTGGGAATTCTACTATTCCTGTCATTGATTAAGAGACAGAATTCAAGCTCAGAGACAAGAGGACAATGAGTCAGGTGAAGTGGCTGACACCTGTACTTCCTGTTACTTCAGGGACTGAAGGAAGAACATTGCTTGAGTCCAGAGTTCAAGGTCAGCCTGGGAAAGACAGGGAGATGCTGTCTCAAAATAAGTAAATAAAATAAATTAAACAGGACTTGGGCTATAGCTCAGGGGTAGAGCATTTGGCTCACACGTGTGAAGCCCTGGGGTCTTTCCCCTGCACTATCAGAACAAAACAGTGACAGAAAGGGAATCTTACACACTTAGGGCTCACAAAGCCCTGTCCTTGTTACTTTAATACCTAACACCCTCGCTGGTGCCCCAGGCAGATGGCACAAGCAACTGGCTAGCTTGGGGGAAGGGGGATTGGAGGCTACCCAGCTCCTCTCAACCTTGGCTCCTGCTGCTGTATTTACTCGGGATTTGCATTTCTTTCTCGGCTGCTGAATTGACAAAGGTGACATCAGCTCCCTATGCCTTTTGTCCACCTGTCACGCCAGCCTTCACTGGGCCAGTGCTACAGGCTGCCATTCTGCCCAGTTCCCAACACCCTCCTCCACTTCCACCTCCCCAGCTCCCTGCCAGTCGGTGACAGAGGTGGGCCTGGCCTGGAGTTGCTAAGGAGAATTGGCTGGGTCATTTCCTGCTGGTCTCAATGCCCTCCCTCCCAAAGCCTGTTCTCAGCAAGCTTGGGCATGCTCCCCTTTAACAAGGAACAAGGCAAGAAACAATCAGCTTCCTACAGAATTTCTCAATTGCCCAGACAGGGTCTTGTGAAATCCAGGCTGACACTGACCTTGCTATGTAGCTAACCATGGTCTTGAGCTCAAGTTCCCCCGCTTTCAGGTGCAGGGATAAGAGGCATGCCTCAGCCCCACCCACTAGACAGCATTGGACATCAAATTCAGGACTTTTTGTGGCCAGGCACTCACCCTACCAACCAAGGCACAGCCTCAGCCTTACCAAGCCTGGTTTTGTTTTTCAAGATGTATTATTTGTGTGTGTGTGTGTGTGTGTGTGTGTGTGTGTGTGTGTGTGGTGTGTGTGTGTGTGTGTACCGGAGAGGACTTTGGATTCCCAGAGCTGGAGTCTCAGAATGCTATGAGACACCCAGTGCAACTCTGGGAAATGAACTCAGATCTCTGAAAGAGCAGCAAGTGCTAGCAACCACCCTCACAGCCCTCCAGTCCCACAAACTTGTTTTAAGTCAACCGTTCTCTTCTCTTCTCTTTTCTTTTCCCTTGAGACAGGGTCTATCTGTAGCTCAGATAGGCCTTGAACTCAAAACCTTCCCTCTTGCGTCAGCATAAAAAAAAAAAAGTCCAAGCGTCTTTTCTTGAAGTTCATGACTATGACCTTCTGAGAAAGAGACAGATGGGAATCTGGGAGCTACTGAAGACATCCCCTTAGTGTGGGCCTGCATTTTCCTGTTCTCATAATTACACCAAGAATCCACCTTTTTTAAAAAAAATTTTTTCTTTCTTTTTTAAAATCTTTTTAAATTTTTTTAAAAAATGTACATTGGTGTTTTGCCTGCACATATGCCAGTATGAAGATGTCATATCCACTGGAACTTGAGTTACAAACAGTTGTGAGCAGCCATGTGGGTGCTGGGAATTGAACCTCAGTCCTCTGGAAGAAGAGTCAGTGCTTTTAACCTCTGAACCAGGTCTCACAGGGTTTGCCTGTGTTATCCTGTCCTGGAACTCACTTTGTAAACCAGGCTGACCTCAAACCCACAGGGATCCGCCAGACTCTGCCACCTTCCTGAGTGCGGGGACTTAAGGCGAGCCACTTTTGTTCCTTTATTCTGGTGTAGGATGGAATCCAGGGATCAGCCGTATGCATTATGCAAACCGTCTGCCACACACCACGTCCCCAGCCCCTTACTCGATGATTCTAGGCAAGTGTTCTACCCCTTAGCTGCATCCCTAGCCTCCAATTTGTCTAATCTAGAACCCCCTAGAAGAGAGATGCTGCCAAAGCTGATCGGGAGAAACTTCTTCAGTTGAACGAAATTGTAGAACAAATCACTCATCGGAAACCTCGTTCTTGTATCTTAAGGCGGTTGATCTGAGGTGGGGCATCCCAGACACGCAGGCTGCCGACCGCTTGACCACAGAACTTTGCTTAGAAGAACTTGACCGCTGCCAGAGAACGTCTGTAGGACCAGCTTTTGTGGTGAGTGTGCCAGAGTAGGTGGAGTTGTCCTTATTCGTTTCCCATCACAGTGTGGCCCCTGAAAGAAGAGTGGCACAAGTGGGTGACAGTCCCCCACAAACTGGTCATGACAGACATAACTAATCAGTAACAGAAGTAGCTGGGAACCAGGCAGTAGTAATCAAATGCAACAGTAAATGAGCTGGAGAGTATAATAATAACTTGGGAGGGAATCTTCCAGGCTGGTTTAAAGTTCCTTTCACTCTTCCCACCTGCTCCACTTTACATCTGTAAATGGAAGGCTGCTTATTCATTCCTGGCTGCCCATACATGAAATAATCACACAGAAGCTATATTATTTTTAATACTGTTTGACCAATAGCTTAAGAGTATTTCTAGCTAGCTCTTATATCTTAAATTAACCCATTGATGGTAGAGATGCCAGGTGCTTAAAAGAAATCCCATACTGGCTCAGAACTGAGAGATAGACAGTTATTTATTAGGGGGAAAACTTACAAATCAGGATTCTCTGCTTGAACAATGGATGGAGATCAGATCCAAAACAAACCGAACAAAGCGGGCAGAGAGAAGAAGAGGGCCAGGTGCACCTCGGCATCCGGGTAAATAGTCTGTGAGGCCACGGCCCATGTCTCCACTGGTCTGGAACACACACCTGTACCCTCCTCTGTCACCAAAATAATCTCCAACCTGGTCGATGGAGCAGGCCTGTAACTCCAGCACCGGAGGTGGGGCAGTGGGGGCAGGGGGTCAAGGTCGTCCTTCTCTGCCAAGTTCCCGACCCTGTTCAGGAAGTGGAAGACAAACAAACAAACAAAAAACTGAGCTGGGCATACCGGCAAGGCCAGCCTGGTCTATAGAGTGAATTCCAGGACAGTCTTAGGTGAAGAGACCTCGTTTTGAAACAAAACAAACAAACAAACAAAACCCCCTTAGACCCAGTAGTTAAGAGCCTGTGCTTGGGGGTGGGAGTGAACTGTGGTTTGTATATGAAATGAATAAAAAATTTTAAAAAAGAAAGTAAGTAAATAAATTTATGAAAGCAAAAAAAGAAAAAGAAAATTAAGCCCAGTAGTGGTGGTGCACACCTTTAGTACCAGCACTTGGTAGGCAGAGACAGGAGGATCTCTGTGAGTTTGAGGCCAGCCTGGTCTACAGAGTGAGTTCCAGGACAGGTACCAAAGCTACAGAGAAACCTTGTCTCAAAAACAAAACAAAACAAAACAAAAAGCCAGCAACAACACCACAAAAAACTCTGTGCTACTCTGCTCTTGCAAAGACTCCAGTTCAGTTCCCCACAACCATCCATAACTCCAGTCCCTGGGGTCTGATGCCCTCTTCTGGCCTTTGTGGGCACTGCACGCATGTGTGCATAACCCTCTCACAGGCTCCCACAAGAATAAAAACATCTCACTGCCCACAGTAAGAGCTACAGATCCTGTACAGCAACAGTCACATTGCCTTGACCATGGTGAGTGTGTTGGCATCACAATTAGCAATCTCCCAGATTTCTAGAATGTCCTATAGGCTAGTGTGGCCTCAGAGATTAAGTCTTCCTAAGAGAACAACATAAAAAAAGTTGGAGGTGCAGGCATATACCTGTCGTTGCAACTACTTGGAAGATGGAGGCAGGAGGATTGCTTCAACCCAGAAGTCTGTTTTTAAAGAATATTTTTTTAATGTCTTCTTTGACAATTTCCTACCTTCATACACTTTATCTTGATCAAACACACCCCAACTTCCTCTGCCTACTCCCCTCAACCTCCCAGACACCCCTCCTCCCACTTTTGTGTCTTTTAAAAAGGTAACCGAATGAATCCAATTAGTGCACTTGAATGCACACAGGTACGTGGCCATTCCAGAGCCTGCAACCTGCTAGAGGTCTCGCTCTTGAAACAAAGTGCCTCTCCCTCCCCCACCAGGACACCCCCCTCTTCCCCACACACAGATTTTAGCTGTCTTGGGAATGTGCAGGTATAGCTGCCGTGGGTCCATGCACTCAACAGCCACGTGTTCACGGCGCTCTTCCCGTCCCTTCAGGACGGAATTGAGAGAGATGTCCCATTTAGAGCTAATGACTTGGAGGCCAGCCTAGGCAACATGATGAGACCCCATCGCAAGAAGAGCAAAGCAAACATTGGAACTGGGCAAGAGCTCTCTGCGGATGTGTCTAACATTTTGTTGTTGTTGTTGTTGTTTTGCTCTTTTTTTTTTTTTCTTGGACAGGGTTTCTCTGTGTAGCTCTGTCTGTCCTGAAATGCACTGTATAGACCAGGCTGGGCTGAAACTCACACAGATCCCCTACCTCTGCCTCCTGCTGGGATTAAAGGTGTGCACCACCATACCTGGTCATGTGACAACTACAGTGCTCTGGTGTCTTCAAACTATGTCCTGTCCTCTTCCTGCTCAACTCCCAGTATGTTTTCATTGTTACTGCTTTAAGTTATTTTCTCAGGCTGGGGAGAGGGCTCAGTGTGTAAAGTATCTGGTGTGCAAGCATGAGGACCTGAGTTCAAATCCCACACACCAGGGGGCAAAGACGAGATGGATCCCTGGAACTCACTGGGCAGTCAAAGAACTCACTGGGCAGTCAAAGAACTCGGGTTCCTGAAGACACGGTAAAGTGTGGACTGGAGAGATGCTAATCAGTGAGCCGTGCCTGCTGTAATCACAGAGGACCCAGCACCCACATCTGGGAACTTGCAGGTGCCTGCAAACTCCTGCTCCAAGGGATCTGACACCCTCTTCTGGCCTCTGTGGGCACTGCATCCACCACAGCACACACTCACACACATGTAAATAAACTTTAAAAAAATTAGTAAGATAGAGAGAGGGCTAGGAGTCATATTCTGTGCACCTTTGGCCTCCATGTGCACAGACCACAGACACACACACACACATGCACGCACACACTCACATGCACACATGCATGTACACACACACTCACATGCACACATGCACACACATGCATGCACATACACACACACACACAATAAAAATGTCCTTTTGTTTATAACTCCCTTTCTGAGTTATTATTTCCAGAGACCTGAAACCATGGTGAGTTAGCAGGGAAAACTGGGTTTCGTTTTTCCCTTTTGAGAAGAGATCGTAGGTGGCCCAGGCCGCCTCACACTCACTATGAAACTGAAGCTGGTCACACTAATTCTCCAGCGTCCACCTCCAGCGCCGGGATGGCAGGCCTGTGCCACCAGCCTGTGTGTTTATTTATCCGTGGGGACAGGGCTCAGGCCTTGGCACACATGTGGAGGTCAGGCAGGAACCGCTTCCCTCCTCCCACCATTCAAGTTCTAGGGGTTGAACTCATACTCCGACTCCACGGCAAAATGCCTTTACCCACGGAGCCATCTTACCAGCCCTGAGAAAATGCTTTCTTAAATGAGAAGGAGGAAATATCCCAAGCATAGAAATAAACAAACCACCCATGAATAAAACTTTTCAGAGAGAAAGGACTGGGAGATGCCACAGGGAAAGTGACTCTCAGCCCTCACTGCAGGCCGAGAAAAGCAGAAGATGCTCCAGCCACACGGTGAAGGATGGTCCCTAGGCCTACCCCATCCCCATGCCTGCAGCTCCGAGTCGAGGTCTCCGACTCCTCCACGGCATTGCCTGCTTTGTCCCCAGAGCCTGTCTATCACTGTCGCTCTTGTTGGGGGACTTTCCACGAAATCAGATCCACACTGGGACCCTGGAGAGATGGTTCTGTGGTAAATAACTCATTAGCAGGCCTCAGGTTCCCCATACACCTCCCTAAGAGGCTGGGCCTCCTGGGGCTCCAGCTGCTCCTAGAACCTCCCTTGCTCTGTGGATCCAGCCCCAAACCTCCCTCTGAGGGGGGCTGGACCTTGTTCCTGGGAGGCTGTGAGGACCCTGGAGGTACTACCTGACAATCCTGGACAGAATGTGTGGCCTGGGCCTTTCTGCTACTCAGGAGGCTGAGGCCAGAGCTAGCCTGAGCAACATGGGAGCCCTGACTCAAAGCACCAGAAACTTGCCTGTTTCCTTCATGTGTGCCCATGCATGAGCATGTATGCACACACACACAAACACACCACATGTGCACACACACTTGCATGCACAGGTCTGCATGTGCAAGCATACACACAGGCCTGTCTCAGTTTCTGCTTCTGGGTGTACTTCCCCGTCCCCCTCCCCCTGGGCATCCCTTTCCATCACCTTTTCCCCCTCCCCGTATCTTCCCCTCTCTCTCCCCCTCCTCACTCTTCTTTCTCCATCTTGTAGCTGTTGTTGGACTTCATGCTTCTGAGACAGCTTTCCTTTGCTGTCTATATTGGCCTAAAACCCACATTCCTCCTGCCTCGGCACCTCCCCGAGTGCTGGCATCCCCCGTACCCCTACACCCAGCTTCTGACCAGGGTTCTTTCTGTAGTTGTCACCATGGTGCCATACCAGGCTGGCGTTCAGAACCTCAGTGTGCTTCCTTCACAGCCTAGCATTCAGTGTCAAATGGGATTTGAACTCATGCCCCATCTGTCTTCCTGCCAGGCTCTCCTAGGAGACCAGTACGGCCCCTGTCTGATTCCCCAACGGATCGAGGAGAAAGAGTGGGAGGCACTAAGGGCACAGCTGACCTCCAGGCCTCGAGATCTGGAGCTGGTAGCCAGGCATTTCCAGAGAGACGACAACGCCATCCCTCCCAACTACGTGCTGCAGTCTGCGGGCTCCGTGGAGGCTCCAGGGCCTGAGGAGGCCACCTTGACCTCTGTCCTGCAAGGTGGAGCCCAGGAGGCCCGAAGGCTGGGCCTCCTCAGCCAGGAGCAATGGAAGCGCTACCATCGATCAGGTGAGGCCCAGGGAACCCCCAAAGACAACAGACATCCCCCAGGACTTCAAAAACTCCCTGGCGAATGCACAGCCCTAGCCAAACCAGGGTCAGTCTCTAGGATCCTTTCCTGGGCCCTGACTGCCCTCCTCTCCCAAAGTGACCACCATGCCCAGTTTGCCTGGGACTGAACGTGTTCAAGAATGCGTTTGCTTTTTTATATGCATTTGTTTGTGGGCTGGGGAGTGTGTGCCAGCTGTGGAGATGTACAGAGGTCAGAAGACAATCTGCAGGGGTCAAACTCAGGTCGTCAAGCTCGGCTACAAGGACCTTTACATGCTGATGCATCTTGCTGACCCTAGAAAGCTGTGTGTGCGTGTGTGCATGTCCGAGCATGTTCGTGTGTTCACAGGTGCACTTGGGTGTGTGCACATATGTGGTCTGCGCTTGTCAGTAGTCTCCTGACTGTACACTGAGGCTGAACACTGTCTCACTGAACCCTGATCTCATAGATTAAGCTAGTGTAGGTAGTGTAGGTAGCCAGCTTGCTCCCCAGAGTCCCTGTCTGTTCCCAGTGTGCTGGTGATAGTCAGTTGTCACCTAGCACACTTTTCCATGATTACTGAGGTGATGAACTGAGATCCTCATGAATATATGGCAAACTCTTTACCCACTGAGTCATTGTCCCAGCCTCTGGAGGATTTTTATTTATTTTTTGGGTAGGATCTCATGTAACACAGGCCAGCCTTGAGCCTGTTTCATAACCAAGAATGACCTTGAACTCCCCCTCACCTTCGCCTCCAGAGTACTGAGGTGGTTGTTGTGCGCCGTTACACCGGTGTGTGGTGCTGGGAATTTTGCTGTGCATGTGCTAAAACTCGGAATTTGACATTGATGTATTCCAGTTAACTGGAATTCAGATGACTCCAGGTCCTTCCCATTCCCGTTAACTGGAATTCAGATGACTCTAGGTCCTTCCAGACCAGCTGTTTTTATTCTTTCATTTTGCAGGCAAGTCACCCAGGTTGTCCTTGAACCTGTGATCACCCTGCCTCAGCGTTCTGAGCAGCTGAGTAAGCGACCTGCCCCCGTGCCTGCCTTGGAGAGGACACTGGGTGATTCTTGTCCTTGACTGGAATGCAGTGTCCCTAGGGGCCTGGCTCTCCCGTCAGCTCAGAGAGGCTTCAAAAATAACTCTGGCTGCAGTTAAAAAACAAGAGCCTCCTGAGACAAGTCAGTGTGAGTTCTGGCTTCTAGAAACTAAGGTCCAGGGAGATGGATAGCTCAGCAGGAGAGCACTGGTTGCTCTTTCAGAGGACCCCAGTTCAACTCTTTTCTGCCCCCACTCCCAGACTCCCTATTCACAAGCACAAACTCACACACATATGCACATAACTTAAGAATAGACAAGCTGGGCGGTGGTGGCACACGCCTTTAATCCCAGCACTCAGGAGGCAGAGGCAGTCGGATCTCTGTGAGTTCGAGGTCAGTCAGCCTCTAACAGTCTACAGAGTGAGTTCCAGGACAGCTGAGGCTACACAGAGAGGAATCTTTAA